TGGAGCTTGCAGAGTCCTGTGTTTTACTTCCCTTTTGCCAATACTGACAGTTTGACTTGGCAGCATGATATAATACATAAAAGTTTGCTTACTGTATGAGTAACCTTAAAAAATAATAGAATTCGAGGTGATCACCTGAATGTAATCTGCACAAGGTCAAGCAATGCAATGTAAAAGGTAGTGACTGTGACAGGATCTGGTAGCTGTTCATACAGATTGAAGTATTTATTATTCATATTTTATATAGAACCTGAATTATTCTAGGTCATGTCGTAGTCAGAGTAGAAAAGACATCTTTTCTTAATGTTTAAGGAGGAGGGTGTGGGATTCAACTCAATTAACCTTACCAGCTCCCAGGTTACATGTTGCTTTAGGCTTTGTGTGTAGTCAGTGAAGAAATAAGGGCAGATTCAAAGCACTGCTCATCCCACCTGTCTCCCAACAGATGCTTTAAGGTGCTTTTTTCTTTCACTGACGTGAGAGGGAGCCTTGGTCACCAATAAACAGTAGACACTTTTTTACATTTGATACAGCTGCATGATTCTTGTCTGTAACAACTGACTTGAGTAAAGGTCAGAGACTTCAGTCATCTGTACAGCAGCCTAACAAAATGTCCTTGTGATTTTGAGCTAGACATTTGAGCAGGTATTTTCAAAATTAGTAGTTCTTGTTAAATGTCTGGCTCACGTCCATATTCAATCTCCTCCTCCAGGAAATATTACTTTCCAGCCTCTTAGATATTCGTAACATTAATAAATAAAATGCAAAATAAAATAGTGTAGTAGGATTGTTGTTTATTCAGCTTCACGTGGAACCAAAGTGTTTCTGGAGGAAAAGAAAAGCCCAAATAAAATTATTTATAGCACAAATACACAGCAGTTCCTTGAGACTAATATTTCATGGTGGGTATGGAACTCTTGCAGCTGTGTAATTTCCAATAAGTCATTTTCTTAGTCTTGTGCCCTACCTTCCTGGCATACCAATGAACATCAGAAGAGCTTATGAGGCTTTCAGGTTAGAGTTAACAATAAAACCAGTAATTTTCTCTCAGATGTGTTTCGTATACTGATGTTATTAGTCCCACGTCTGCTAGCCTCTGGACATTTTCCTTCCCAAGACCATCATCAAAACTAACTCTTGATATGACTGTGTTATGAGAAGTATAATATCAGTAGGAAAACAAAACAACAAAAACTCCCACATTACAATCTGACAGCCACATAGCGTCAGTACTAGATCATGTGAAAAATAGACACCAACCCCCATTTCAGCTGTATTGATAGTGCCAGCTCTTTTCCTCCATATTCAAGAATTTTCCACTACTAGGCTACAGCAATTAAAGTTTAATTAAAGCATGAAATTCTCACTGTTAGGGAGTCTGGATGTCTGGAGTCCTTCCTCCCTGGGTAACCTTTTATCGAGGTTAGGGAAACCATCACACTTTCCAATGGCTGCAAAAGTGAACTTGTATGGTTAAAATAATTCCTGCACAGGCTGCTTGAAAGATACCCCAGCAGTTCTAAATACATGACTTGTTACCTTCAAATTGCCCTTTTCCACACTCATGCCATACTCATCCCAGATAAACAGCCTGTCCGTGTTCATTCTTTTCCCACCAGCTCTAATGTTGCTGATTTTACATCGTTATTTATTACAAGGTTGTCCAGTAATTTTTGCTTTGGTCAGTAGTGCTGGTACCCATGTTTGTCCCGTTTCTTGGATTGCTCTCTTGTTAGTGTAGCCTCAAGTCGAGGTGAGCCATCTGCATATGGCATTACTCTTTCTTTTGCAATTTGTTATGCCTGGTAATTTCTCACATTGTTATCTTTCTGTAGTTCATGTTTATTTGCACACATAACCAGAAGCCAGCTTGGTGAAACTGCTGGTGGAAGCACCTTCTTCATCTACTTGGTCTGAATGACCAGAGACAGCCCCCATGGCCAATGATAGCCTGCATGGCCACAGACCTTGAGGGAAACATCCTGCTTCACCTTTTGCTTTCTGCCTGCCTTCCCTCTTAATAGTGCCACAAAATACATGCACATGGTCCAGCCTGTTCCTGCATCTTCTGGCATGTTGTTCGGTATTTCTGGTACTTCCCTTGGCTGCCTTGTGTGGTGGAGTGCTCATTAACCCTTCTCTCTCCTGGACCAGACAATGGCCTGCTTTCTGGTGACTTCCTCCATTCTCTGGCCTTCAAGCCATGTGGAGAAGCTTCCCAGAAAGTGTCAGTTATTACGTGCCAGCTGTCTTCCTGGAGATCCTTCATCTTCCATTTATCCAGATTATCTCTGTGACAGTGTAAAGTGATTGAGTGGGAATGGGAATGACTGCATTAAAAGGATCTAAGACCAATGCCAGATTTTTTATGGGGAAGTTGCTCTTCCATCAGCCAGAAAACAAACAGAAGAGTTCAGAGATTGTGTACTCCACCTACCCAGCTGTAGTGGGTTGGCTCTGGTTGGATGCCAGACACCCACCAAAGTGTCTCTGTCACTCCCCTCTGCATCTGGTCAAGGGGGAGAAAATAAAACAAAGAGTTGAGATAAGGACAGAGAGAAATCACCCAGCAAATAGCATCACAGGCAAAACAGATTCTAATTAGAGATATGAATTGAATTTATTACTAACAAAATCAGAGCAGGATAATGAGAAGTAAAATAAGACCTTAAAAACACCTTTCCCCCACCCTTCCTCCTTCACAAGCTCTGCCTCCTCTACCTCAGTGGCACAGAGAGACAGAGAAGGGGGATTATGGCCAGTTCATTAGGGGTTGTGTCTGCTGCTGCTCAGGGAGAGGAGTCCTTCCCCTGCTCCAACCTGGGGTTCCTCCCAAAGGAGACAGTTCTCCATGAACTTCTCTATCCTATGGACAACAATTCTCCACAAACTGCTGCAGCACGGGTCACTCTTTCACAGGATGCAGTCCTTCAAGGACAGACTTCTCCAGCATGGGTCCCCCACAGTCACAAATTCTATGAGGACACTGTTCCATGGTTTGCAGATCCCTGCCAGGAGCCTGTTCCAGCACAGGCCTCCTCTCAGGCATCCACCTGCTCTGGTGTGGGCTCCTCCAGGGGCTTTAGGTGGATGTCTGCATCCCCCTGGACACCCATGGGTTGCAGGGGCACAGGTACATCACCATGTGCTGCACCTTGGGCTATAGCAGAATCTCAGCTCTGGTGCCTGGAACATCTCCTGTCCCTTCTCCACTGACCTTGGTGTGGACAGGGCTGATCCTCTCACACATTCTCACCCTGCTATTCTTTGGCAGTAATTACAACTGTGCAAAACCCTTTTTCAATTCTTCCTAAATATGTTATCCCAGAGGCATTACTATTTCTGGATGGTGCAGACTTGGCCAGCAGGGTCCATCCTGGAGCTGGCTGACACTGGCTCTGCCAAACATGGGGAAACTTCTGGCAGCTTCTCACAGAAGCCACCCCTGTAGCACCCCACTACTAAAACCTGGCTGTGCAAACATCAGCTTAATTCAGGATAACATTTTGAAGGCAACCTGCCAGCATATGAGTTTGTCTGTAGAAGTCTGCTTATAATACAAAGATAAAATAAATATTTTGGTGTCACAGTGGAACTGTATATTGTAGGTTTTCACAGTTGTTTGCTAGGGAACAGCAAGAAGAAATGGAAAAGTGACGTGTCCAGTCCCTAAAGTAGTTGCTGCTGCTGTTACCACTCATCTGTACAGTGTATCTTCCACTTTGGGCTTACACATGCACTAACAGGATGTTGGAGGCTATTTATTCCTGAGGCAAAAGAAGAGAAACCCAATCATAGGGCAGAATTCTAGACTAAGTAAAATGACTGTATCTCCTTTCATCATCCATCTACTATCAGTTTACATTTCCTTGCCATCAGACCATCATGTTACATTGCAGTCTGAGACAGCACCTGCAAACCAATCAAGAAAAAATATAATGAGAAGGATTATAATTAAGTTTCTCTATCTACAAAAACAAGGATCTCCTTCCACATACATGTGGCTTTTGGTACATCAGAAGACATATCACCATGCTGTGTAATGAGAACTGTGCAGTACTTTCTCTGGTGAAAAGAAGAGAATTTGCACCCTGAGCCTCCTGATTTGTTTTTTATTGACACTTTAGTAGGACAGAAGTTAATACTTAAGATAAAGGGATGAACTTTTGAGTTCAGGTTTGAGCTAAATCCAGTTTTTAAATTATGTAGGGGTTTCTTTATTTTTGGCACAGTGCACATCTTCTGGAAATGGCAATCCACGGCAAGCCAATCATACTGCCACAATAACAGTGCTCTGTAAACAAGATTTCTGTTTGGGTACAATATGAAGGGTGAGCAGACATTGTCCTTTAAGCTGTCCTTGTAGGTAAAAACAGGCCTCATCAAATTCAGCTTAGACCAGGATTTCATCAAAGAGAGAGATTTAACAAATCATATTTAGAAGACATAAAATATGACTTTCTGATCAGTTTATTATGTGTTATTTATTTAAATGTACCCTGACTCAGTTACAATTCTGTTTCTGTAAAATATTTTGCTTTCCATACAAATTGCTGAAAAGAATTTTCAAAATATCAGTATGTGATAAGCACTTGGTATTCGTAGGATCTTCTGAAAAGCCCATCTGCTATGCAAATTAATATCTAAGAGTAATTTCTGAATGGGGATTCATAAAGGCATGGTTCAGAAAAACAATTAGCATATGTTTACCTTTCAGTGATTTCTGTGAAATACAGACTTTTATTTGAATATTTATACAATGAGGAATGATTTCCCAAGCTGAGGTTGTACTCATTACAACTAGTAATATCAATATTTACTTATTAACGGATTTGAATTTTATTTGCTCATTCCTCCACCAGATTCAATATCCGGTGGTGGAAAATGCATTAATTTGTTCAGTTATTCACGAAGCATGTCGTACATGGTTGTGTTATTCCCCACCCAGTTGCTTTCAGGAGCACGTTTTCCCAGCTGACTCTTTCCGTCCTGTCCCCTAGTGCACCTGGTGGACATCTGGAATGTGATAGAAGCCTTGCGGGAGAACGCCCTGAACAACCTGGACCCCAGCATGGAACTGAGCGTGGCTCGCCTGGAAGCTGTGATTTCAACCATCTTCTACCAGCTCAACAAACGGATGCCAACCACCCATCAGATCAACGTGGAGCAGTCCATCAGCCTGCTCCTCAACTTCCTCCTAGCAGCCTTTGATCCGTGAGTCTGCCTTTCTGCCTCCTCTCCCAGCTGCTGAAGGGATTTTACTTCCTCCAGAAATATCTCTTGAAGTCAATTGAACAGGCTCAATTCTGTCTCAAATAATGAGCATGTGAATAGTGCTAACTAGGGAGATAACCTAAATTAAGGGCCTCTGCTTTCCTTTTTTTCAAGCCAAATTCAGCACAACTGTGTTTTCATCCAGCTACTCAGACTTGTTCCAGTTTATATCAAAGAAAAATTATCTACAGAAACAAATTCACATGCGCTTCTAATTTGGCTTGTTCTTTATTGACACACCAGTGGCTGACACCACTGCAATGCCTCTGCAGCAGTGCCATGGGTTAATAACTCATTATTTTGAAAGAGCTCATTTCCCTGCAAGTTCTTGCAGCTGTAAGCAATTTTTTTTTCTGGCTCATGCCAGTGCAGCGTGATTTTGAGACCATAACAAAAATAGGATTAAAGACCTGGAGGTGATGAAATTCATGTTGTTTATTACTGCATGGGACTCATATTACAAAAAGAACAAGTTTGAGATAGAGCAAACCACTTACATTTATGAGTATTCTGTGTATACCTATTACAGTTGCTGAATACATAGTTGGCAACCTGTGGTGCAATATTTGCAGTCCTCAAAACTGAGTTATTGGAGAACAGTGGTTAAGTCTGACAGAAGCAGATGTTGTCACTTTATGGCTTATTTTTTGAAAATTCACCAGCAGAAAACACTGGCCATTAAACATTAAAATAAGGATGCTTCCCCTCTCTCTTCCCAGTCCTCTCTCTTGCTGCCCTGGTACTGGGTGTCACTGAGCCCCTCTCGGTGCCAGACCAGCCCGTGGCTCAGTCACCATGGCAACGGGGAGAAAAAGTAGGTGTTCCACATGAGAAGGCTGCACTCAACCTCTCCTCATGCCCCTCTGAGAGGAAGAAAAGCCAATCCATTGTGAAATCATAGCCTTGAGGAATATTTTCCTCTCCTCAAGGGCAATAAAAGAAGGAATGGGCATTTTAATTCATACCATTGTGGCTGTGACAAGCACACTAAAGGATGCTGGAAATGATCAGATGCATTTATTGCTGCATGCCACAAATAAACTGCTTCCTGGCTGGTAAACACAGGGAAGGATCCTGGACTGTGGAAACAAGACTGTGATAATGTGCTTATTTTGTAGCTCACTGTAAAGGGGTAAAGAACTCAACTACACAAAACAGCTACTTGCAGCAAAATAAAATAGAGGAATTTAGTTCCATGGAGGGAATCTGAGAATGTTTTTAAGGGGATAGGGTTTTGCTTTCCCTGTAAACATCCCACGTGCTGTGGTTCATGATCTGTTTCTGGGCTCCCATCAGGGCCCCCCCAGGTAAGGAAGCTGTGACCCTCACTCTATTTGTCAAGCAGCAGCTCAGTCTGTTGTGCTGCCTCTGAGTGTAGTGCATGGGATGCACTTCCTAGAAGAGCAGAGACACCCCAGGAATCCCTAGGAAGAGGCTCCCAGCTCTGGGGTCAGAGATAGGGACTAGCTGCCTATCACCCCATATTTGATACACCAAATATATGAGATGAGGTTCGGGTGCAATCTGAGATACAGGTTTTGTGGAGATATGTGTCAGCTAGGTCTCTCTGTACTGTAATGGAAGTCTAGACAACTGTCACAAATAAAGGCATATCAGTTAAGCATCTGATTCTCTATGTGCCCTACACTTTAGTATGACTCATATCATTGAAGTTTTGTGTTGGATATTGCTTTAACAGCCACTAGTGGTTCAGGTTTCCTGGTTTCTGGGAAACAGAGGGAGGGAGGTGGCTCTACGTGCTACAGGGACAGCATGAGAGCTGCTGGGGTCTAACCAGAGCCGCTGTCCCTGCTTTCTGTGCTACTCCTTTCCCTTCCCTCCAGTTCAGCAGAAAGGTGGTTCTGCTGGAAGTTAGAAGTTGCTGGAAGAAGGGGCAAGGTCCTTTCTCGTGGTCTCATGTTCAGAGAGAAGCAATGCTTTGCATGCCATCCAGAGGGACTGGGCAGGCTGAAGAAGTGGGCCCTCATCAAGTTTAGCAAGGTCAAGTGCAAGGTGCTGCAGGTCCAGAGAAGGTGGGGCAGTTTTTCATGTCCGGTTTGGAACTCAGAGTGGAGAAATGGAGTCTGTGAACTAACATACATGAAAGGACCACAAGGGACAAGTTATTTCATGTTTTAAAATCTAATAAGCCTGCCACTGTCTCATTTATTTAGTTCTAGTTAATATATATGTTGCTCTTTGTGTACTGTACTGGCTGAAGATCCTCCAAACTTTAAACAGAGCCTCTTTCTTCTTTTATAGCCTGCTGAAAACCTGGCAGGTTTCTCTGCCCTCTGGCAAGGAGTGTTTCCTTAGGCCTGCAATACAGATGTCTTCTCAGGAGCTAAAACTTGGCTAGCAAAACACAAAAGGAATCACAGTGTACTGCCATGGCATGTGGGCCAACTTGGCCACTGCCGGTGCTGAGCTTACATCCCGTTTTTTTCCTGGGTTTTTTATCGCCTTGGGCATTCATTAGGCCCACAGATAATTATATTTCTCTGCTCCTTAACCCTGAAAGAAGAAAAAGTGGGGAAAAATTTTAGTGTATAGAATTTCATGAGAGACTGAATGTGATGTTCCTTCATGCTTCTAAAAGTAAACTAAAGCACAACGTAATAAAACAGCAAGCCAACAAATTCAAAATTCACAAATGGAAATACTTATCCAATTAATTTATCATTAGTCTGTGGAAGTCAGCATCGTCTGACAGACCCTGACAGACCAAAACCAGTGAGCAGAATGAGGTGGTCAGACTTTAAAAAAATCTAGACAGAAACATGCCTGATCTACGTTTTGAACCACACATTAAAATTGGGCAATAGTTTTTGCTTCAAGGCCTAAGGTGATTAACTGACTTTATGAATCAATAGCACACTTCCTTCATTGGCACACCAAGTGCTATGTAAAAAGTAAAAACCTCTCCGAAAAAATCCTCCCAGGCTGGTGTCAAAGTCTAGGCAGCAAGGTGGAATGTCAGCCTCGTTCAGTCGAGTTCTCAAAAAAACTCCTTTTAAACAGAGTGTGAAATATTCTGTGCTAGATCATCTCCAGCTATTCCTGCTGCAAAGTTTAACTGATAAGAAAATAGCTGAATTTTCTCTGTTCCTTTACATATACTGTCCTGTGAATGGAATTATGGGCCCTGGGCTATGAAGTAGACTCTGCCTTGCTGGGGAGGGCTTGACTTCTGCAGAGAAGAGAGGAAATATTCATGGCCTTTGTTTAATCAAATGAACATTTGAATTGTACTGATTTCAGTTCATAAAGATGATTAATATCTACTTTGGAAATACAACTCCTTGCTCATTCATCTATGCAGAGCAGTAAAGTGTTTAATTCCCTCTCTTCTCCACCTTTGCTATTCATTGAAAGCCACAGAGGCATTTACAAAGGAAGTCCAGCAAAAACGCATTTGAGATTTGGGCATTAGGCATTTTGCTCTCCTACATGAAAAAATCTTGCTAAGTGACAATGAAATTTCATCTCTAAAACCTCGTTGTGAAAATGGAAATTTGTAATTACAGCTTCAGACATTTCAGAATTGACTGCCTTGATTACGATGGGTAGTAGCCAATAACTCAAGAACTTTCGTTACTTTTGCAAAAGATACCTTAACGTATTGGGAAGGCACCACTTAAGCCTCAGTAGTGAGAAAAATTGTATTTTCTCAATGTCCTTTTCATGGGTCACATTTGCTGTTTCTAAAGATGTGATGCTATTTCTTGATAGCTTACCCCACCATATGGCTGTCTCAGTGTGGATGTTGCTAGAGATCCTGACAAATGACAGTGTCATCTATTTGGTACCACTCTCCTTGGTGACCCAACAGGCAAAATCAGGCCCTGGAGCTGGGCTCAGCCTTGTATGGTCTGTGGATTTTGTCAGGCAGTCTGTGGGGTTTCCTTGCTCTGGGGACAGGCTGTCCCTCTCTGCAACTATGCAGTGGAAGAGGAAACCTGCTCTGCTCTGGGTCTAAAAGCATGTATAATTTTTTGTCCTTTTTTCCCCAAGCAGCAGGAGATAACCTTCAACCCTGGCCATCATTCCATTTCCTAAGTACTCCATCCTGTATTGTTGTTAAGTGCACATCAGCTTCAAGGTTTGCTTTTGACATCACTTACGCCTCATGCTGAAGAGTAACCTCAGTAAGAGGGGTGCAATATAAAATCAAAATATTTGCTGTGCTCTCCTGTTTCCACTAGTAAAATTTATTTCTCTTTGCATTAGCCAGTCCAAAGCTGCTTTCAGGGAGCCCTGACTTCTACTGAGATCTTCCAGCTGCTGGGAGCTGCTTCAGCATTTGCTTGTGCCCAGCAAACATTGTGAGGCCCCAGTGCTGCCAGTCCAGGGCATCTGTAGTGCTTAGACATAGCTTAGGGCAAATGTTTCACATGGTATTGGCGAGTCTTAGGCCCCATTACCCTGCCTGTTCATCAGCCATATATGTTTAAATATGCATGTGTGTGCACACACACACACACACACACATATTTGGAGGGCAAATTGGGTTTATACTGGCTCTTGTGATGCTTTTAGGAATACAAATGACCAATACAAAATACAGTGTCAAAACTAATCAACTCAAATGGAGAGATTGAAGAGATAAATGATCTCTTTTTCTGTTCATCTCTTCCATGACCGTTTGAGTATGGGAAAAGCCAATGGCTCTAGGGTGGAAAGCTGAAGCCAAGTTGATATGTGTCTGCCATGCAAAAATATAATCCTATTAGTAAATGTAACTAAACCTCCTGGGAAAAATCATCTAAATCTGAAGCATTTCCACATGGGCTTTTTTTTAAAATCTCTAAATCTTCCATTGCTTCTTAGTCATGCAACTGCTTTTTTATTTTATTAATATAACAATTCTTTTAAAGGCAGATGGAAGCCTCATGATGAAACAGTGCAGTAAAATTCCTAAGAGTCTAAAGGGCAGCATGCACAAAAAGAATACAAAAGGACCACATTCTCAGGCATAACAGTGCTAATTCTGCTTTACACAAATCAGAATCCAATCAACAAAGGATGGAAATACAGAAGTCTGGAAATTCCTATGCTGTGATTTTAATCTTCTGAAGCAGTCAAAGGGAACTTATATAATGAAAAAGTGTACAAAAAAGTCAGTTTTAAAAGAACATAGTAAATATTTCATTCCTAAATACTGAAATAGTGAATTTATTACTTTTTGCCTGTATTTCTAGTTGATTTTCTGGCAAAAAGAAGAATTTTAAATGAGTGGAAAAGATAATTAGAATTGATATTTAGAATTATAGGTTACACTAACATAGAACTGAATCTAATTCAATGAACTTTAAAGATTATTAGCTAGTCAAGCTTGGGGAACTGACTCATTTTCTACAGTCTGAGTGACTTAATGAACTTAGCAGTGAAGCATGTAGCATGCATCAATGTACAGATATGAGTATACCATTCATGTCTGTCTTACATGTATGTGTTACTGAATTAGTGTAGTTTGGGATTAGCAGAGAAGGAGGCACAGTCACAGCTCTGTGTCTTTCTCGAATCATTTTAGTTCTGATCAGACACAATTTTCTTACTTACAATTATGAGTGACAATAACAGAGCCATTTTAGAAATATTGATGAAGAGCTAAATTTCTATGTGCTACTATTGCCAGTGCAGTTAGACCATCCTACATAGGATATGATTTTATACATTAAACAGGAAATCCCTTATAAACTTTGTGTTCCCTGGCAGAGTAGACTGAAGATGACAGAAACTATATTCCGAAAACTTACACAGAACTTCATTATCTAGCCCTGTCATTAGTCCTGTCAGTAGAATTTAGAAGAAAACTTGGCTGCCATTTTGCTAAGCTCACAAATACTGGTTGTCTCTTTTTGAAGCATGATGGCATGTTCTCACTGATGTCGTTAATTAATATCATTAATTCATGCGGGAAGCTGTGAAGTAATGCCAAAGAGTTTGGATGATAGACAGAAGTTGCTGCAGTGCAACTCTGGATTCCTACTGCCTTACAGTAAGATTCAGAGAATTCCAAGAAAAAACACATTTCATCATTTGGATGGCAAGAAATTAACATTAAGAAGTAGATGAACTTAGGAGAGCATGTTCATTCTCACCTTTGGAAAGGGGCTGAACACTAAACTGGGATTGATAGGTATTTTAGGGGCTAAATGTGCCATAAGGTGTATGAAGTCATGTTTTTTTCATGCAGCTCAAATAAACCAGGTTTTCTGTGATGGCAGGTGATCACTGGGGACCCTCATGGCTGTAAAAGGAGAGTGAGGATAGCAAGAGGAATAATAAAGTTAAGCCATTGCATGCTTCAAGACAGTTGGGGGAAGAGTTGGCAATGTGCCTTTTTGCCCCAAGACAAATTCTTGGGTGAATTTGGAGAAAAGTCTTTTCCATATCACAACATAAGTTCTTTGCTCATTCTGGATGCAGGCATATTCCCCATTTTTCAGCAAAGTCCTTCTCAAGATTCCTGGGGATCAGGTGTATCATTTAAAAGGCAATTGTCAGGACCTACTGACAGGTACAGATGAAGTTTGTGCAATGATGTGAGGCCTGTGTGCTTTTTCACTTTTGTTCCCAGTGCTGATTTTTTCACTTACTTGCAATCTTCTAAGTCCAAAAAATTCCCAAAGGACTTAGGATAGGGAAACCATGAGTGTGATAGGTGTTTCCCTGTGCTACTGTATCACAGATAGCAGTAGTAATCATCACTGTAGTGTATCATGAGATAAACAGTTTAATACTGAGCTTCATATACAAAATAAATCTGCTCTGAGATCTTTACAGAACAGTGTACTGATGTGTGCTCCCACAAAACAAACTTTCTTTTTAAAGGACTTGCTTCTCTGTATGTCAATCCACATATATTGTGCATTTCAGTAAGTGATGTCAGAAACATACATTTTATTTGAACAGATTCTCATAAAATGGACATATAAAATATGTCTACTTTCTACTTTTGAACAGGGAAGGACATGGTAAAATTTCCGTTTTTGCTGTCAAAATGGCCTTGGCAACTCTTTGTGGAGGAAAAATCATGGACAAATTAAGATGTAAGTAATATTTTTTACCTGTTAAAATTGTTATTGTTGGAGAAATAACAGTACAAGTAGAAAAGATGGAATTAGGATAAGCTACAGTCTCTTGGCTGGATTTGGGAGTTGCCCTATGTATATCGCCAAGTAAATCCCACTAAATGTTTGGTTGAACTTCACACTGAGGTTTTTAAAGACAAATTGCATACTTTGAGGTACTTATTGAGGTACTTATTGGTGGATTTTTTTTCCATTGGTGTTATTGAATTTGGAATACAAATAAGTGCCTCAACATCATGAAGCATCATGTAACAATTTCTTCTGATTATTTTTCATAATGTCTGTATCTTTTCACACATAGAAGAACGATATCTTGATGTACTGTTTGTATTTTCTTCCATAGAGCATTCTTATGCTGTGTATTTTGGTGAACAGATTCTCATTTCATAGGATTTATTCCCAGTTCCCCAATAGCAAAGCCATCATTTACTTGTAGCTGCAATGGGAGACTTTCTGTTTAGTGATACGATGTCTGTAGCTCAGGTCCAGAGCACCATCTTCCAGACTTTTTGACCAAAAAACCTTCAGTTTCTTCTGAGCCTTCTACCTCAGCCCAAGAAAACTGAGTTTACAAATTACTGCTGACTAGAGTGGACAAGTAGAAACCCCAGGTGCTGATTTAGTCTTCCAAATTTGGTGCCATTTTTTAATATGTTATTTCTATGTAGAAACTCAAATAAAGACTGAACTAAAGTTATAAATTATAAATTGAGTACCATTTGTTCCCTAAGCTGCTTTAAGAATAGGAACTGGGTCCATCCAGTGGAAGGCTGAAATACAATGATGATTTTTTGGGTCAGCAGTCCCAGAATCCTCTTGTCAAAATTTCCCTTCCAGGTTCCTGGAAATGAAGCAGCTGACATGACAGCCTAAAAAACAATAAATGTTCCTTAGTCAGAGATCTCCTGCTAAGCAGAGGATAATTTTAAACAAGTGGAGAAGTAAGGGCTGACAAACTGACATCACTGCAATAATGAAAGTGTGATATTTTCATACATAAAAAAGGGAGAAGAGTGAACACATTGGCAAGACCTTCATTGCTTGTCCAAGACAATAATAACTGACTTAATGAGCCCGTTGTCAAGATTTTGATTTGGCATGGTAAGGTGGCAGTAGGCAAAAAGCTGATGTAGCGTATCTTGTCAAATTAGAGCCTTCTTATCTGAGCAAAATACTGCCTCATGCTATGCATCAGACTTCGCTTAAAAATGACCACACAGAAAGAAAAATAAATCAGAAATATTTTAGTATTAAAATCAGCTATTTCTTAATATGCAAATAATACTTGTTTTCTATTGAAAGAGGTCAGAATTAAAGATGTGGTAATAATGGAGGTTTCCATAAGCCAGACATGTTTAGTACTTGCCTTTCAAATCAGATGATACTGAACTCAGAGCAGATCTGTAGCTCATACTGAAGCTGCTGTTCTTCCCTTGTCCTTTCCCCCCTCAGATATTTTCTCCATGATTTCTGACTCCAGCGGGGTGATGGTTTATGGCAGGTACGACATGTTCCTGCGCGAGGTTCTCAAGCTGCCCACCGCCGTCTTCGAGGGGCCTTCATTTGGTTACACTGAGCAGTCAGCAAAATCTTGTTTCTCACAACAGGTAAATGAAGAGATACAGGATCTCAATCACCCCTCTGAGCAGCCAAGACTCTTCCTATCAACGCATAGCTGCATATATGCCCAGGAAACACAGGCTGGATGAGGGCAAGGTGCACTCCACTGATTGCTAGCACGTAAATTTGGTGCCTTCAACAAGAAGCTGGTTTCTATAGGCTCTCCATATAACCACAAAGAGAGAGGTTTAGTCAAAAAGTGATTCACAGGAGGATCATGACGACACATTCCTAAATTAGGGAACTTCCTAATTTAAGCACCTGTTACATATATACCTTTAAGTATTATATATATTATACCCCAAGACATGCAGTCCTCCACTCCACTTACTTGGTGTTGGTATAAGCATAAACAAGACTCATTTCTCCATACAAAGGTGAAGTTCCACCAAAAAAAATCGACCTTCAGATTTTCCCAGTGATCAACAGAGAAGTTTAGGAGTGAGAAGAAAATCACCTTAAAGCTTTTTTTGGAAATGGGAATCAGTATGTATTAGTAAATCCCTAGACTCTTACCAATAACACCTGTGAGATAGGGTCAGGAAAACAATGAATTTATCCTGAAGAAAATACAAGATTTTTCTGCAACTCAGCAGACTCCGTATGTACACTGAGTACAACACGTTGGCTTTAGCTAATACATAGCACTTCAGAAGATTCCATAATTGTGGCTTTCTCCGGTGGAGAAAGAGAGAATTCCTCTGGCTCTTGCCACACATCACACTGTATAATTCCATAAATATGTAGTAAGGGAATATGCTGAAACTGGGACAGTGTTAGAAATAAAGTTGTGTTTTCCTTCTCTTTATCTTTTCGTTTGCTGACTGAATACTGTTGAACAAGTAAGTTCAATGGAGCAGGAATGGTGTCATTTTCATGCAAAATAGAGTCTCATTTTTTGTATTCTCTCAGTTTCATTACTAATCAATAGGCACTCCAGTCAACCGAAAGGAGATGTTGAAATTCATTTATTGAGTCATCTCCCAATTCATTTTAAATGGTAATGTTTGCATATGTGAAACTAGTCTCGTTTCACAGAGGGAGATTTAAAAAAGCACTTCATCTTATGCTGAAGAATTTACATGGTGAAGTGACTTCTGGTAGTTTTGTGTTAAAATAATGAAAGAGTGCTCTTGCAGGGCAACAGGGCATCCAAGCTTTGCATGTTGGACATGCTGTTATTATAGGTGAAAAAGGAATTTCTTTTCCTGAAAAAAAATGTAATTCAGGCCTCATCCTTTATCTTGGTAGCCATCAGAAATGGCACTTGCTTTGAGATTGCATCCAGCTGAGTGGACCAGATGCATTAAGGTACCTCTAGAAACAAAATCTTCAAGCAGACATTAGATGGTTTTGTTTACAAGCTCCACTTAGAGCTAACAAGAGTTAAGTCTCTGACTGATGTGGGTACACAGCAGGTTTACAAAGCCACTGGTTTGCATCTGGAGGCAGCCAAGTACTCTTGTAAATCTAGTCTGATATTTAGCTTATATTGACTTTATGTAGTTCTCATTACATCCTCACTAGGGATGAACCAGAGTTTTTGAATGAAATTCAGATCTTTATGACACTATGATAAATGGTATTTGCAGTCTTAGTCACACACAAGTCATTCTTTCTCTCTCTTATATTGCATGTAGCATTATCAGAAGTTGATAGCTTGGAATAAGTTTGGCACTCTCACTTGTTCTCACAATGGGTCACTTTTTCTTACCAGAAGCTTTCAACCTCCTTATATATAGAGATTCTTCAATTTCAGGGAAAAAAAGAATTCTGGGAATTGTCAGGTCATGGTGTCAAATCCCTTCAGTTTACATCTGAAAGGATTTTTCCTTTTGCAGAAATGTTTTATTATTCCCAGTTCTACTGGTTTACTTGATCCAACCGTGTGTTTTCCCCTGCCTGTGAACCACTGCTAGATTGAATGGCTATTCAAAGTAGAAACAACAGTGTTTCTTCATCAGCAAATTTGTGGGACAGAAATGCTGGAGCAAGTGACTTAATGTTTCAGAATACAAATCTGTGGCTCAAAAAGCAGTTTTATCATCACCACTTTGCCCCATAGGTAGGATTGATGTGATGTTATACTGTATTTGTATTAAGCAGTATTGTTATTATTGTAAAAACCACTTTAAAAAAATATCCCAAACTAAAAACATAGACACTAACTTCATTTTCTTAGCACTTGTCTAAGTGTTATTCCACAAACCTAGACTCCATCTGTATGTAGTATATATTTAGAAATCAGCTTTCAGTTTAAACTTTCCCAGCAGCTGAAATAAAATGGAGGAAAATGTATGGAAATTGCTCTGATGGTGTACTTTTAGGGGACACTGCTTTTTTCTCCAATCTATAAAATCAGTCATCATCAGAGCAGTTTGGCCATAAAGTCATTGAAGCTAAGTTGCCTTATTTGGTGCCAATCAAATTTTAAAGTTATAGCTGCTTTCAAAAACCCACTGCGTTGTGGAAAAGCTGTTCTTGTCTCCTCATCTGTTTGCTTGTTAGACTGGTTGTGTGTATCCATTCAAGAGCAGAGGGAAGATCCAAGGCTACTCAGCTCTGCAGTATGGGGCACTGGAGGTGCCTTCTTTTCCTGGATTTCCTTCCACCTTTTTTTCCCCTGCGGTCTCAGGTTTTGGTGCAGACAGCACAGGGATTTGCTGGCAGCATTGGTCAGCAAAGCTGTGCCAAGCATCCACAAAAAAAAAGAAAGAAAAAGAAATCCACGCCTCTAAAAGATCCCTTTCTCTGAGCTGATGCTTATAGCATGGGATGCCCATTTAGAAAGTGGTTATCTTTGGGAAGACAATTCATACAACAAGCAGATGGTAGTGTTTGACTGGACTTTCACACTGCAGTTATTGTGGGGAAAGGTAGTATTCCAGTGAGATTTAGAGCTCATATTCTGGCTATTTCTGTTCATTAAAGAATCAAGACAATTTTCGCAGTAGCCTGAGGTATTTTCTCTGAAGCACAAACATCCTTATATATTTCCAAATACCTTGCAGTATTTCATCCCTGAGTCTGGTGCATTGTGAAATGTTTTCAGTTGATCACTCAGCGTATAAGAGAAATAATGTTTTTACTTACATCTGATGGTAATTGTGTATAAATGGAGCACAGATACTCCATCTGGAAATCTCAGCTCTTAAAAGAATTCCACAACACACAGAGATGATACATGTCTCTGCATAGCTGCTACTTAGCTTCCTCATGGGGTAACCACAGTTCTTTAGCAAGTTAAAGCATATGCAGTCAGATATGAAAATTTAGCCATCCCTTTGGACATGGGGATACCACTTAAATATGTATGTCTATAAAATATATCTATATATATTCTCAGCAGGGCTCGATATTCTTGCATCTTAAATTTTATTTAAGGAAGGCTTAGTTGCTGATTGAAAAAACAAATTAACTAAGATTTGTGATTACTTTTTCCAGACACCTAAGAAGTTTAAGGCCCTAAATTGCATTTTTAAAATCAACAGGGATATCTTAGAGTTTAAATCTCTTTGAAGTTTAAAGAGGCATAGATCTCTGAGTGCTTAAAGGCATGAAGAGATTAGGAAGTTACAGTCCTTGAGCATATGCAGTCTTGACATCCCACAATCAGAGCTCACTCATAACTAGTTGCCATTGCTCCTCAGACAAGCAAAGTTTCTTAAATTATGATAACAAATTGCCTATGCTGGTCTCTCCTTATCCTATATTTCTTTCAAATTTTTACTCCCTTGCTGGTATTTTCTATTTTGGAGTACCATCAGTGATTTTTCATTTGAAAATTGGTCATACACACTTATACCCTACATGCACTTGTACTTGTCACACAATACTCAAAACAGATGAGAACATGCAGAACTGAATACCACCCTTAACCACAAAGCATCTTCAGGCAGTGACAGTAGAAGACAGTCTGGAAGTGAGTGGGAGCTGAGTGTCTCCATCCCAGCCTGTGAGAATGACTTCTAGTCATCAGTTGTATCATTGTACCAAGTAAAAATAGTCTGGAAAAGCTTTGCTAGTATCACTTGTTCTTTTTAGTACATCAGGGCTACAAACAGTGTTTGAAACTTATTCCCAAGTGTTTCTGTAGAGACTAGAAAAAGTAATTGTGAGATGTCTAATTACTTTTTCTTTTTTTTGCATGTTTGTTTGCTTGTTTGAGCAGAAAAAAGTCACATTAAATACTTTCTTGGATACTCTCATGTCTGATCCCCCACCACAGTGTCTAGTGTGGTTACCACTTCTGCATCGACTGGCAAATGTTGAAAATGGTAAGTAAAGAGACTCTGCCAAAACACAGTTACAAGAATAAACCTTGGTGTGACAATTTTCACACTCTGTAGATGGTTTTGTAAAAGCTACTGTACTGGTTTCATTGACTCCATGTGCTATTTTTACAGTGACTGGTAAAATATTTGAAGAAGTCTGTTGGTCATTCAGCCAGGAACATGGCTTAAATTTTGCTGTGCTCAGGAAGTTAACCTGATCATGACTCCTCCTGTTCTCTGGATAAGCAAAGAGGAATAGGACTTCATCCATTCACACACTTATATTTGGTAAACTACCAAGACCACAACTTTTATTAGCTATGACATATGGCAGCAGAGAGGGAACAGCTTGGCAGTTTCCGTTCGTGTAGTATTCCTGGCAGGAGATGTCCAGTGCAGTGCAAAACACCAGCCAAAAGGTCCTGAGGAAGGATCTACTCCTAAGTCTACGCTGCCAGACCATATCCTCTGAAAAGGAAGTTCCCTGTGGATGGTATGCATCCGTTTTTGATGATAAAAGGAAAAGGAGAAGTTGTATGTGTTCCTGTGCCAAACAAATCCCTGTTCCACTGAAAGGCACCAGGGTGGGTAAGGTGATGTTCCCAAGTCTTTTTTTGCTACAGAGCAACCTATCTATCCCACCTTCTCAAGCTCTTGTCATCCACCCCTGTCCCTCACTAGCTTCACAGTGTTTCTTAGCCTAGAACAGAAACCCTTCCTGCTGCAAAATTCTGGCAAGGAATTAAACCCCTGACACATCCAGCACAGATCCAGATTTTCCCAGACTGAACCTTATGACAGAAAGGCAGAGGGTGCCTGAGAACAAGGGGATGTTCAGTACCCCGTGGTAAATTGGGTACATGCTGTAGCGAGGAAAGAGGAACAGAAATAGCACTATTGCCCAGAAGGTGCTTCAAAACATCAGTTGATGCTTTAGTGTCTTCAGTGACTTGCCTCCTAGTCACTGTCTGCTTCTGAACAGAGAACAGGTCCCTCCAAAGGCCAGCTTTCACATCTGGGCATCCGAAGTTACATGTTCCAACTCCATATATAGGTACCTAAATGGCACCACTTTTACAGGTGAGACAGCAGTAATTAAGAGACCATAACATGTCTAAGTACACTTTCATCCTTTCAGTATTCATACAGCTGAGTTTGACTTTTCCTCCAAGGTGCCTCACTTCGGCTCCTTAAAGCACAACAAATCATTCAGCTTCTCCCGGTGTTGCAGCTGCAGTGGATTTTCCTACGTACAGATTTCCTCTATCATCAAATAGTTTGGGTTGAAAGGGACCTTAAAGATGATGCAATTCCAACTCCCCAGCAGGGACACCTCCCACTAGACCAGGTTACTCAAATCCCCATCCAAACTGACCTTGAACACTTCCAGGGATGGGTCATCTACAACTTCTTCAGGCAGTGCAATCCAGTGCCTCACCAGCCTCACAGTGAAGATTTTCTTGCTAATACCTAAACTAAACTCACCTTCTTTCAGTGAACCCATTCCCCCTTGTCCTATCCCTACATGCCCTTGATAGAAGTCCCTCTCCAGCTCTGTTGTAGCCCCTTTAGGTACTGGAAGGCTGCTCTAAGGACTCCCTAGAGTTTTCTCCAGGCCGAACTGTCTCAGCCTGTCTTCATAAGAGACCCCTCATCTTTGTGGCTCTCCTCTGTACTCGGTCGTATATTCTGTTAGACACTGAACACCACACACAGGTTTTGCTGCTGTCAGCAGGAGGTACAGATACCAGCTCAGAAGTGAAGAAGGTTTTGGTGCCCAGTGTAGGAATCATTGCTCATGGCTTAGCACAGGTTGCTGTATTTTCACAGGTCAGAGCTGCTGGCAGCATCCAACGCTGCAGATTGCTTTAAACAAAGAAGGAAACATCCTTCAGTTTGGGGTTTGTCCATAAACTTTTTCTGGGTGATTCTTTGTTTTGGTTTTTGGCTCACATTTCTTTCTCCTGCACAGTCTTCCACCCCGTCGAGTGTTCCTACTGCCACAGCGAGAGCATGATGGGGTTTCGCTACCGCTGCCAGCAGTGTCACAATTACCAGCTCTGTCAGGACTGCTTCTGGAGGGGCCATGCCAGCGGTTCCCACAGCAACCAGCACCAAATGAAAGAGTACACGTCATGGGTAAGGGAAGGCTCCTGCCTTGCTGCAGACTGCTTTGCCCTCCAGCCATCAGAGAAGCCCCCAGCCACAGCTCTGGGCAGCTGGGAGCCGGGCTGGCCCTTTGGATTAGTGGCCCTGTCTGGGAGGCTCTGGCCTTGGGAGCCATCGGGAGAGCGTGGAGGTGGGATGGTGTTTCCTGGGTGAGGATCTGGGGCGCCTGTGACGGTGTGTGCCGCGCTGAGGGCAGCGCAGGAGGGGCTGGCAGCAGGGCTCCAGGCTCATGGCAGCTTCTCCCGTTCCCACAGGACTCACGGTAAAATCGTCATTGGCTTGCTCTGTTTGGCTACGTGTAAATGAAATGATGAATACTTAATGCTCATTCATCAATATTTTCAGTTGAGTGGCTGCAGCATATGCGTAGCATTTGGGATGATCCTGGCACTGTAGATTTGAGCGTGGTCACAGGCTTAGATCACAGTAGTGTTTACTACAGACTAAAGCTCAGATCAGGCTTTTTGTTGTTAATCAAAATAATGCAGGTTTTTTTCTTAACTGAAAGAGAAGTATCAACAGCTGCTGGAACCTTAACTTTCCCTGAAGGGTATGAGACCTGGGGACTCAGCTTTGCATGGACTGGAGCAAAGCCCCAGTAGAAACCCTTGGTTACAGAGCATCAAAACCCTTTGGGGTTCAAATTCAGCGATCAGCAAAAAATACCTAATTAATCTCAAACATTTCAAAAGTATATTGTTAAAAAAAGGAAAATTATACATGTGGCAAAAGCTCCCATTTGTATAGTGCTTTGTGTTTATTTTGTAACAAAGTTCTGGTGTTTAATATTTTTTAAATGTTTGGTCTTCTGTTGATGGAACAGGCAAGGGTTAAATTTCACATGGTTTGCCCTGTATGCCAGTCATACACCCCTGCTCTGTATCCCGCCAGACCTGGGTCTGTAATTGTTTTTGTGGGTCCTAATTACTGCTTGTTACATAGACACAAATGGCCAGAGTGTAGTATCTGAATAGGAAAAGCGCCCACTATGTAGCTCAGACTCCATTCTTAACAGCAATTTGTGCTATAAAATCCACTTTTTGCTGTAGCCAGGGAGCTGTAATTAGAGGTAGGAAGTAATTGGAAAACTTAAGATTCCTGCTCAGCAGAAGACAAAAATGTGACCACATGCCTAGTGCTTTCAAATGTTTCCTTGCCAGAAACAAATGTTTTGCTTCAAGTTTGAAGTTGTCTTTCTGTAACATTCATTAGCTTTTTTTCAAACCTGGATAGCGTTCTCCATAATGCATCAGTATCGAGCTCCACATGCAGACTGGAGGTGTTCATGGGTACAGTGGAAATCAACTGTTCTCAATTCAGTGTGAAATTGCATTTATAATGAAAGAGAAAGAACTTTAACTTTACACAGTTAAGTTGGATTTCTTTAATAGAAATATTTTATTAGTGACTTGGTGACAGTCATAAGTTGATGCAGGATGTGTATGCAAAAATACAAAACCCTTTCTGTCGAATTCCAGAAAGACTTTTTCCATTTCAGCCTCTAGAGCTGTGTTTTGGGGAGAGGAGACAGTGTAAGGATTACTAACACTCTTTTACTGGCAGAGAACTGAATCACAGAGAGCTGAGTTGAATTCCCTGAGAATCCCTCACACAGCCTAAAAGACACCCTAGATCTCTGAGATCCCTTAGAAGGGAAGTTGAGTTTACTCTTCAACTATATAGTCTCCAAACAAAACAGAAAGCAGAAAATACTGATTTTATTTTTTTATTTTATACGCTTATGCTTCTTGCACAGACCCTCCCCATCTTTTAGGGACAGTGACAGTGTATCAGTTTCTTTTGAAGTGCTCTTGCCACATTGGGGCAATTCCTGGCAAGCCCCTGTCTCAAATTTCCATTCTCCAGTGGTCAGTGGCCACAGGAGGTGGAAGAGAAGCTTTGTAATAGCAGCTAAACAGTACAGGGTACTGGAGGTGAGGAGGGAAATACTAGTGAAGGGGAAAAACAAAGCAGCCCAGTGCCTGGCCCACGTCCAGGAGGAAAATGGTGTCCCATAGAGTGAATCTCTAGGGGCAAGCACACTCAGATCCATTCTCCTTGCACTCCCAAGCTGGTGAGGTACAAGCCAGCACCAGTCCAGGCGACACAAACTGTGCTGTTCTTTGTTCAGCACTGCCTGAGTGCAGCATTGCAAAAAAGCCATGGCAACTGTCCCTATAGAGACACCCCCAGCCTGCTCTAAAGGCTGCTGAAGATAGTAATCCTTCCCCAAACAGAGCACTCTTTGCCTTACCAGACTCTTGGTGTGGGAGGGGGGCAAGGGGGATGTCAGTCCATAGGTACCTGAGCTGTTAGAGCTTCCTGTTGTTTTGTGCTTCCTATAGCAGAAACAGTGTGCACCTTACTTGTCCAGATTACCTCTACCTTCCTTGTTCCTCCCAGAAATCACCTGCTAAGAAGCTAACTAATGCACTTAGCAAGTCTTTAAGCTGTGCTTCCAGCCGTGAACCTTTGCACCCAATGTTCCCTGACCAGCCTGAAAAACCTCTAAACCTGGCTCATATTGTGTAAGTATCTGTGTGCTGTAGATGAAGTAAGCTTTGTTGTAGGAGTTGCTTGCACCAAGTGTTGATATTACAGCTCTGAACAAAGCAGGAGGCAGATGTGGCTTGTCCAGCTCAATGCATCACAAGTGCAAATTTGCTGGTAGGGATATTTCGTGTGAAAGTGTTCTTCTGGTGTGACCTCACTTGAAAAATCAACGGGATATATACATACAATCAAATGCTGGGACAGAACTTTGGAATGTCCCCATTCTCCTCAGGAGGTGTCCATGCGATTTCATGGAGTTTCAGCACTTTGGGATGTACTGATGCTGAGAACATCAGTTCTGTCATCTAGAGACTCTTAACTTCAGTGTATCACAGGTATATCTTGACACAAGGCACTGGAGGAAAGTGAAATCAGACCTATTTCGTATATAAAGATGTCAGAGTTCTCACTGACTTTAGTGGAGCTGTGGCTCCACCCAGCCTTGAAGAATTGTGTTAGTCTGCATAAAAAATGTGCCTTCAACTGCCGAGTCACTTGAAAAGAGTCTATTGTCCTTGTCTTTTGATACGTTGAGAAAGCAAGATTATTTTTTGGTATAGTAGCATATCACTCCTTTTTTTCTGCAGGAGTCAAGAAACCCAAAGCAGAAAGAAAATATATTTGTGCAGGGTGGGAAAAGTACCAATTTGGATGACTTTTTTTTTCTAAATCATGTCCACTACCCATAGTAGCAGACACTTACCTTTGCTTCCTGGGTCCTTAAAAAAACAAAAAACACAAAAAAAACCAAAGGGAAAACCCATAAAGTTTCCCATAAAATTAAGGAAAAATTAAGATATTGGTTGGAAGAAAGATACAAAGAAATCAACTTGGGAAAAATATTCCAAAAATGCTGTCTTTAAAGTATTTATCTTACTCTGGTAAATTTCTTAAGAAAATATCTTTCTTAACCATGTTCCCAGGGCTCCTGACTGAAGTATTTCAGGCAGCAGCTATGAGAATTTTATTTATATGATGCATATCTGTGTTACTGGCTGCTGGAACTGTTCTAGTCTATAATTATTATATATATTTACCTTGGTTCATCCTGAATATTTGTATGTGGCATCTTTAAGGGCAAGTGCACACCAGCCATTGTGGGCTGTGCAACACCTGGAAAGTTCACCCAACCTGCCTGACATTTTAAGGATGAATTATGCTGATGGTCCTCCTCATGTGGTTATAGCAGAACTTCTCCAAGGTGTAAGAGAGTGCTCTGATCTTTAGAGACAAGGTGCCTCTGACAGATACATAGTGCCAGATCCCTGTCACACTTAATTGTCGTTAAAACCCCTGCACCTCTTTATGGAAGAGTACTGGGAGGATGTTGTTCTTTGGCAGAAATGATCCAGAGTTGGATCTGCTGAGCTCCCTCACTGTTGTGCCTGGCCCTGCTGGCAAGTCAGTGATAATTTCACAGAGCAGATTTTGGCCATCCTTAAGGGAAATGGAGAGAGACAGAGAGCTTGAAACTGAAAGAGAAGCCTCTGTTTCCTGTTGGCTGGGGATCTTGAAGGCCTGGGGATATATCAGAATATAAAAGGTAGTGAAAACTGGGCTACTGTGAACAGATTAAATGCATTTAGGCACGGCAAGGGGAAGGTACCATAATTAAATAGGAACTGATCCAAGTTCTTACTGTGAAATTAACACCTCCCCTTATTCCTAAATATACAGACAATTTAGAGTGATGGGATGTGAGAACAAACCACCATCTATTCTGTTTTATGACAGTTTCTCTTTATGTATAGATTGATGGTAATACAACTTGGCAATATATATTGGCTATAACGATGCATGAGTGAGAAACCTGTAAGTTGTGGAGGTTTCATGATCTACAGCATAATTGACACAAATTAACTGAGGGGAGAGGTATGCTACAGAACCTTGTCAAGAATATCTTCTCACTGATGTGATTTTTATTTTTAAACATAATGGAAGTTGAGAGAAACAGCTCTGGGCAGGAATCCAGGCAAAAAGGGGGTTTATATTTTCATTAGATGGAAGAATCTTGGCAACAAAACAGTATCCTTTTCTTAGCTTCTAGCTTAAATGGGGACAAGTGCTCCCTGCATTACTACAGAGACTTTCCTTTTGATTTTTCTTCCAACTTTCACTGGCACCAGACAAAAAGACTGCATGGTTTTTTTTGTTTTACTGGTGCCACACAAAATTTTGAATTAAGCAAGAAATACATCTAAAGCCTCATCTAGAGAAGTAGTTATCAAGGTGTCATAAACCTGATAGTAGAACTCCTCCCACTGATGGAAGGGTCATTTTTCCTCTCTGACATAAGAATAGCAACATGAAAAGAAGTCCAGACTACAGAGATGACAAATGGCATGGCCATGGAGGTATTTTTGAAATCCACTCTTCACTGGCCTGACTTAATTTCCATTTTAAGCCTGTGGGAGCATTATTTTTGACATCAGTGTAAACAGGTTAGAGCAGCCTGGAGCACTTTGGAAAATTCCTCCTATTTAATTTGGTTTATTACTGTGGATATACATTGCACCATAGCATGCTTTTATTACATAGCATATTTCAATGGCATTAAGTGTTTTCTGTCTCCTTGAGGATAGTTAATTCCGTTTCAATTGCTCACTTTCATCAGAAAGCTTAACCACTCACTTTCAGGAGTTTAAAAATAACCTCAGAAAGATAAAATCTATAGTCAATAGCTGAGTTTTCCTTTGCTTTGCAATAAAGTCTGTTGTTCTTGTCTTATCACATCACAGAACTCTATGGGTTTAAACATCCATTTGATATTCAAGTGGAACCTGAAAACTGTGACAGTGGGCATCAGCCTTTAAGAAACTTGCCTTGGGAAAGCTCCAGATTAGTTTGATGTAACTTTTTTCATTATGAGACTTGGCAAAATAATGCTAATCAGGAAACCTTAGTGAAGTCTTGGAGTTTAAAGACATTTGTACACAAGAGTAACTTTGCTTTTGTAGACAGATCAATGACCTTTTATGCATAGAGGGTCTCATGCTTTTTGCAGAATCAGGGTCATAAGAATGGAGTATGTCCAATGTACTACTTAGACCATATACGTATTAAATTGACAGTTTAATTAATGATCTCTTTTCCATTTTATTCTGCCTGCAAAAGAGATACTTGGTGAGTATTTTTCTTCTTTAGTACACTTGTCGGAGGAAAAGCTTGGAAAAATTGTGATAATCTTGGTATTACAAAAAAAATAACAACCATTAAACACTTCTCTATAAGTAAATGGAAGACAGAAGTCTGCTTCTCAAATTCATGACTGATCAGAATTGGAGTTTTTTCTGTGTTTCTGCAGATGCAGAGTTAGGTTAAAACTGTATTTTCACATAAATAAATAAATAACGCTCCACATCCTATCTCTTTCTTGTCACAGTTTTAAACTTCTTAAAATCAGTGTGGCATTACCATGCTGAGAATTTAATTTGAATTTTTCAAATACCCTATTTTTTGCCTGTTTTATAACAAGTTACAGGACAAAATATATAGTAATAGTTCAGTTCTATGCAGAACTTGCTTTCTTGGAAATGCTTTGGTTGACCAATTGTCTTGCACAATTGGAGCCCAGTGAATATTTTGCTGGCTACCATATTTCAAACTGCACATGTGCAGAATTCGAAAAGCAAGATAGATCTTCCACAGAGATTAAAGGGAATATTAACCAAATTGAGGTCTGAATTATATGCAGCTTCAGATTTTGCTCATATCTGATTGAAAGCCCTAATTTTAATAACATACCTTTTAGTTGTTCCTGAGCAGATAGATCTTATGCCCAATGTTTCACAAGAAGTCTGCTAAGAAGGGGAAATTTCTCTTTAATGGATACAGAAGGAGAAAATGATACACAGATTATTTTTAAGAGTAGACAGCAAAAGAAAGCAGAGGAAAATTCCTTCTTGTTTCATTTTTTGTAAAAGCAGGAAATAATCAATGTAATAATAAAACCGTCATTTCTAATGGGTCCTCTTGAACTAAATACTTTCTCTAAATTTTGGCTTGAGGGTTTGATATACTGGTTAAAAAGCATTGCCATCAAACCAGTTTAAAATTCTGCATGTATTTTATGAGATGCTGAGGGCGTGGGTACACTGTGGTCACTATGTGGATGTGGCAGCATGGAGCTTAGCACCAGGAATAATTCATGAAAAGATGCATCATTTATTGGCAGTTCCCTGCTGCAAACCTCCATGCTGCCACAGAAGACTCAGTGCCAGTGCTCATCCTGTCTGGTTGAAAGCAGGGACTGCACCTTGGACTTTTGCCTCTGGAAAGGAACAGTGGCATCATGGCTATTCTACCAAAGCAGGGAGGAAGAAGTCAAGCAGATTGCTTAAAACTCACCTCAGAACACACAAAGGCATTATTTTCCTCCAGGCCTAAGTACCAGTGTATTTTCATCAACTTCTTAAAACCACAGCATCTATAATTTGAAACTATTACTATGTAAAGCAGAAGATGCCAGTTGCAATGTTACTTCAAACAAACTCATTCTGTTCTACATAATGTTGCTGATGGAGAGGGTTTTGGTGCAGAATTAATGCAGGTATTTTGCCTTTCAGGCCCCCCCGACCTGTAACCAGCATGAACGACACACTCTTCTCCCATTCTGTTCCCTCAGGAAGTCCCTTTGCAAACAGAAGGTGAGTCCTTATCCTCATTTATATCAAACCAATATATGATAGTGGTGGAAGTTTCAATTTTCAGTTCCCTCACAGGGGTAAAAAAAAAAACAAACCCTCTCGCACAGCAAAACCAAGAAGTATGAGTAGAGAAATGCTTTGGTTAATTTGGACTGATACCCAAACATCTGAACAGAGAGCTGGAGTTAAGGCACCCCAGGCTCTCCACAGCAGAGCACTGAATTTCAGCTCTCATTTGAACCATTCTGACCCACTAAAATGTGCTCACATGCAACCCCAGGCACCCTTCCAGAGAGACCCAAAATGGGCAACTGGTGAGAAACCATTTTGTAGAAGCACTCTGGGAATAGGAACTGGGAATACTGGGAATGCCTACTGGGCATTGGATAAATAGCAAGACATCCTTTCTCCTGTGAAACCATTCTGATTTTCATTAAAATCAGAAGGGAGAAGAAATAGTCATGGAATATGGTGACTGACCCTTCAGTAAACAAGCTAGGAAGTCTCATCAGAAACATAAATCACAAAGAGGAGGTGCTTGCAGCTGACTGTGTACATTTTGACTCAATATTTTGGCTCATGTAGTCAAAATATGTGTGTAGCATTTGCTAGCTGTGTGACCCCACCTATGTAAGCCTACAAATGTACATAGGCAAGAAGATGGCAAGAAAATACCCTACAACTTCCTGCTGTCTTAGAGAAGATGAGCAGTGTGTTTTCCTTGGGTGCATTTTATTGCTTGATTCCTGCTGAGTGGGTCAGTGCTTCAGCATTCCCAAATCAGTAAACACAATCTCTGGGTATGCACAGCTACATATTTTAACACCAAAACTGAAACCAAACCTGCAGTGTACACTGCAAAGTCAGAGTAGAGATGGTTTACTACTTTTTTGATTTGTTAATTTTGCTACCACAAGCTGTAAACTGTAAATTCTCAGTGTTATCTCAGTGTGTTTGTGACTGAGATGCTTTTTGAAAGCCAGTCCCAAAGCAGCCCCCAAGGCCAGATCTGCTGCCTATACACAGAGACTGCAAGTGCAGATTCATTTCTGTTGCTGGAATATATGGGGGTTTATATACAAGGCAGGGTAATGTATTCGTATCCTCTCCAGGAGAGGTCACTAACAGCAGCGCTCTTTAGGAGTGTTGTTGATGCTTCTGTTTATTCCCAGGACATCCCTGTGCTCGATCAACAAAAGTACACTTTGCTCCTTAGGCCAGGGACCTGCAGTAACACTCACAGCAGTGTCTCCTGTGCTGCTCTTCTTTCCTTACCTGTAAAACACATCTGATTATTTTACTTTTGTCTTTGTTAGTAACTGACTGGCTTTATCAGGTTTAAACATTCATGCTTTCTGAGCTGTTAGAATTCTTTTTTTTCCTAGGAAACATTCCTTGATGAGAATCCTCTGAAGGCAGGTGATAGTACCACCCCCCTCAAGCATAGGCACCCAGACTTCCTTATAAGTGGATAGTGTGACATCCCTGTACAGTTAAAATTTTCCATGCAGCAGTTATTCTGGCTCTTTTAGAATTAACTGTACCCTGTATCAGTTACATTGATTGTATATTAGAAGTTTTGAAACTTTTGTTTCATTGATGTAGCAGGATTTTAGGAGTTTGACAGCTTATTCTCAGTATTTTTATTTCCACCTTTTACAAATTTAATTTGCATCCTTTTATTGGAAAGGAAAAGCACCCTACAAACAGCCTAATCAGTATTCTTCTTAAATTAATTGGATTTATTGTTACCAACCCTCTCTGAACACGCTGCTCTCTGTGTATTCTTTTTGAGGTATTAACAAGGTTTCATTGTTTGAATCATTCAGGTTACTTGGGGGTATAAATGCAGCCAGTCCTGTGGCTGATGAGCATTCTCTTATAAAGCTGTATGTAAATCAGCTTCACAACAACTCACGGTCAGTATGAGAGCACTAACCTACTAATCGCAGTAGTTCTGTAGCTCATGCACTAAATCATTAGCAATTCTGCTAAACTACTCAAAATATTCTTTAAGGAAGGCTCTGATGGGCTAGAGGGTTTCTGTGGCTCTAATTAGTCTTTTGAATAGACTTCCTGCTGGCTGTGGGCTTTGCCAACTTCTCTTGCTTCTGCGCAGCACAAGTCTTTCATTTTACCCTTTCACGTAGGATTAATATTAATGTGTCCAATGGAAGTTGGAAACATTGCTTTTGAAAACTGAGAAAACTACACCTTTATGGTTCCATCATCAGTGTATGACTTGCCTGTTGTGTTCTCGACCAAGGAATGAAAGAGGCTTGCACAAAAGCCTGGAAATGACTCCAGGTCTCACAGCCAGCCTCCTCTGCCTCAGCTCTCACTGTGGGTGGCTGCTGTTCTGCCCTAAGTGCTGCTTGCCAATAACCCTCCCCAGCCCCCTGAGCTTTGCTTTTCAAAATGACCACAGGAGAGGCAGATCTAAGTCCTACTGAAGCTAATGAAAACCTCCCATTTACATAGTGAGCACTGGACTTGGACCCATGCCTCTCGTTGCTGCACCCTTTTTCCAGCATTCCCTCACATCTCAGTGACCTAAAGGAAGATTCTATTTCATTCTGCATTTAAAAAAATACACAATTGCATAAGAATGGTTTCTCCATCTTTTTTTATGTATAGTGTAATTTCCTTTTTTTCTTTCTTTATTAGTCCATGAGCATTAGCTATATTTCAGTAAGAATTATCGATATGAAGGTACTTTTCTGCTAAATGCCAAGGTCTTCATTCTGGGTTAGACTAGTAACTGTATCTTCATTCATTCTTTTAAGTTTTACTGTTACTATTGCCCTGGGAAAACCAGGCCTCATTAGTGGAAGCTCACCCTCTTGAACATTAGAGAAACAGACTTTGATGGCTCTGTTTGCAATTGGTCTGATTTTATATTAAATACTCTATGATTCATATTGCAATAAGAAGAGTGCAAGCTCAGAGTAGAATTTCTAGCTGGATGTAATGAACACTAAAGGCTCTATTGGCTGTGTTTTCACTGCAGATAACTTATGGTTACTTTAATTTGTGTTGCAGTCTAGTCCAAAGGTTTCAGATAGCTTTAAGGGAAGTTTTTCATATAATTTGAATGTTTATTCAAAGGAGAATTGGCAGAGAATGTCATTCATAGCATTCCCATGGTATTTATTTCAGCTACTTGTGTTCACATAAGAACATAGCCATTCTAACCAGTTTCTAACCAGTGTAGCAGCAAATGCTAAATTCAGCACAGCAGCTCATTCTGCTGCTGGAAATGGATAGCATCTCCTAAGTTCAGCACACTGCCGTCTTTATTTCTGGATACATGTGTGAAAACTGGAAATTAACTGGGAAGATGGAGAATCTTGTTAGAGGAAAGATCCTTGATAATTGGTAAATGCAGTGACAAATTGCAGGAAACAGCTGAAAGGAGATGGAACATTCTATACTATTTACACTTTAATTGCATCTGAAGCACAGATTTCGGGTGGGTACACAATTACTCCAAAGCTCAAAGGAAGTTGAGTTCAGGCTTTCCCTAAGATGCTTTTTACTTCCTTCAAACTGTTTTAGAATTAAAGTCCACTTAAAATTTCTGTGCTTGTTTGTTTAGTTTGAGCCAGCAAGTCCATGAGAGAGCTTTAATGAGGAGGTTAGCAATTATAAGCACGTTTCTTCTAAATGTATACAGTGTGGAAATTGATATCAAGAGTATGCTCTGTACAGCTCAAGAAGAGCTTGAAAGTGCTTGTATTAGAAAAGAAGGAACAAAAATTCAGTGATCTTCTCCCAGATACCAAATCATGGTCATTTGCTGTGTTGGCAGCTAACATGATTAAAACCACAAGGTCTGTAATTCTTTTGCTGTAGCTGATATTCAGGGGTTTTCTCTCATTTGTTTTTGCAATTTCCTATGGCCTAGAGGGCAGCAGAACAAGGTAATATTACTGCAGAGTAGGTAATGCCCTTGCAAACCCAATGGTTTGGATAGGTTACAACAAAACAAGCAAACTTAGCTAATGCCAGAAACTTTTGTCCGATCAAGAGAAATAATTCCATACACTGAATTAATGTTTTTTTCCTTATTTGAATAATTTTGTTCCCCAGCTGCAGTCTGTCATAATAATGGGTACAAGCTCCTGCTTTTTCTTTATAAATGTTTTCTTTAAGCTATTGAATTATTGAGCTTAGGTAGGATAAGATGAAACAGAATGTTTTTTCTTACATTTTTCTCAGCCCCCCCTTCACAGCTAATGCATTTATTTCTTCTAAACGGGTAATAAACTGGAATAAATGGTGTGATGCAACACATTCTGGTGAACTTGAAATGACTTGGCAATTGTGTGATAGATAGAAAGAATGAGCTATGATATCTGATACCCATAGCCAAGGAGAAATTGAGACTTACTTAATGCTGAGTCAGAATGGCTGGTGCTTTTTTGAACTCCACATAAAAGTTAAAGAAATTGGATATTCTACCTGGGCATAACAAGAGATTAGGCCTGATTTCTAGTCAACAACTAACTTGGAGCAAAACATACTGGGTGCTGCTGTTCTCCGTGTCCCTGTCTCTAAGGAGCGTGGTAGACTTCAACTGCATGTTGTCTTTGCATGTTGTTTTCAGAACAAGATGAGAAACCTTATTTCATCAGCAATATTCTACCTGGCTAAAGGAAAGGTTTATATGTTTGATTGTTTTGTAGCCGGGTAGACACTAATGATGGCATAACATTTATACTAATATTGGTAGATCTATATCTTCAGAGACGTGTGCTTTTATAGCTGGAGGGTTTGTCTCTAAATTTGGGTGGAGAAGCATTATTTGGCATCTTACAAGATGTTCTATTTTAGCAGGAATATATCTTTAAAATATCTGTTCCAGCTGGAAATTCACTGTGGCCAGAACAATCTCGGAAGTATTAGTTGTATTTTGGGGAATATGTGGAGGATGTAGAAAGATATGGAAGAACAAGAAGGGCAAATGTCAGCTCTTCCATATGAAGGAGGGTTCAAGGTGGAATCAGGGACAAAGGTGAAAGGGTAAAGGAGGCAGCCTAACCTTGGTATCCAAAGATACTGAAATTTTATAAAAGAGTTACTAAGCATCTGGAGGATAATAAACAAGAAATAACCACCGTAGGTTTGTCAAGAACATATTATATCAACCAAACTAATTTATTTCATTGACAGGATGACTGATCCAGTGGGTAAAAAAAGAAGCAGCAGATACAATACAGGTTGACCTTAAAGGGGCTTTAAACACAGTCCCAGATGACACAGAAGTACCAAAGGAAATACAGACATAGGGAAATTAGTAAAAGAGCAACACTGAGAATGAATAATGACATTTTCAGAAGTTTGCTGTTGCTTTAGGAGAAGGACATCTGCTGGGATTCTTGAAAGCTGTCCTAAATCGGACACTGTGCACTATTTCTCACAGTGAGTTAATGGAAGCAATAGAGTGAATATATCCAATTTGTAGGTGGTACAAAGGTTGAAATAGTTATGGAAATGAGTGCTTAGAGAGCAGTTTCTAAATAAAAAAGGTAGCTCAGTAGCATTGGTAGTAATTTATGTCCAAATGATCTGAAATCAATTACAGGAGATTCAGTAATTATAAATGAAAAGTGCTGTAGCAAGAAAGCAAATAGTCAAATAAAAGATGGGAGCATAATTGGATGGATAGAAATATTTTAACAGAGGGCCTAGCAGTTGCAGTGAAGCACAAACTAATTGAAGTCAGCATACAATTGCTAGATTGCATTTGACCCTGGAACATCATATGGAAAGCCATTAAAACCCATTCCCCAGAGGAGAAGACATCTGCCTAGAGGTTTGCATGCAGTTTAGGGCAACAGCACATTTGCTAACCAGCTATCTGGAGTCCAGAGGAGACACCCAAACATCAGAAAAACAGAAAATGTAACTCTTGAGAAAAGGTTTGAAGTTTAAAGTTTGCTTAATCAACTGAAAAGGAAAGGGGCATGGATAGAGATATGGTATCAGTTGCTCAGTGAGTAATCCTTGTTTGCCTGTCTCTCCACACTGTGTGGCTTCTGGAGCATAGGAGAGGAGAACTTGTGGTTGGTGGAGGGCACACTGTTAGAAAGCAAGGCACAGGATCTGTTCTGGGGTCTTTGGTTTCCCACTGTGGAAACATATTTATTTGTATTTTTAGAACTGAAAGGTGCATTTTTGGCTGAAATGGCACACCTTGTACCCTGTGAAGGCATTTTCCTTCTGTAACTGGGAAGAAAATGTGTGGAAAACTCAGCCTTCTAGATGGCATGGTGCATGTTTATCTGCAAGGATATTGCCCAGTGGAAATGCAAAACACATGCATAGCATGCTGATGGGCAGAGAAATGTGAAACAAGCACTCGTCTTGCTGTGGAGTACAGCATTTCATTCAGCTATCATACTAATTTATTATAAATCAATAGGCTCGAGTTCTCAGGATAACCTTTGGTCTCATCCTCTTCAGAACCCCACTGCCAACCTTGCCCTCCCAAAAGGAGGGGAATTACACACATCTTGCCTCACTGAATTCCTTCTTTGTCTTATTATTAAATGTTTTGAAGATTACCATGTTCCACATTCGTGCAACATTATCTGCCTACACACACACATAGACCCTGGATGCACAGGTGCATCCATGCTCACACACCCATGAGGTGCCAAATCAAAAAACAGGTGAATAATTTTTTAAGAAGAAAGTAAAATATAATTTTGTTTTTCTTTGTTGTTTCTTAAACCAAAAAATGCTGCAGCATGAAAAAAAATAACATTTTCCATGTTTCCCATTTTTAGCTAGTGGTAGCTTGTTAACGTGGATATTTAAATGTTGGGAAAGATGCAGTTACTGCAATCCATTAAATACTGTAATTAGGGGGAAATGTGTGTTTGGTGAACTATATATTATTTTAAATCAACAG